CAACTGGCGAAAGTGTCACAAAAGCAGAAAAGAGACCAGATCCATATTAAGGGCTCCCCCAAACTTCCCATGGCTCGGGAAGGGGCAGTGGGGGAAAACAGTTTTAAGTAAAACAAGCTGTTTTGACTTTTCCGAACGCGTCTAATTTTTCGGGAAAACGTGCTTTCTCGTTGTTAAGGGATTCAGTTCGGCCAGAAGTAGGGGGGGAAAAAAACAGAAATTCCTTGGGAAGTCATAAAGTAGATGGTGTAAAACAACAACAACACTGTATTTCTTGGCTTGAAATAACACAGAATATCATCCCTTTTCTTAGGCTACTGAGAGGAAGATATAAAAATGTTTTTCTGAGCCACTAATGGAAAGGTGGAGCAGTTAATACACTTGGCTTTCTACAACTCCCCTTTTATGTCTCTGTTTCAACTGGCATTGTGGTTGCCAGAGCTGTGTTTCTCAAAAGGGAATGGAAATCGCAGCCCCAGTCACGAGACCGCCATGTGGCCCTTTGGGTTGCGCCTCCTGTAGGCCTCATCCAAATCTGGTTCCAGTCCAGCTGGAACTCTCAACTCCTGTGTACTTAGCTGCCAACGGCCCATAGCAGACACCCATAAATCCAACTTGTTTTTATTAATGCTGTGCTTTGTTTACTGATAATGAGCCTACTGCGGTTTCCTTCTCCCTTTGACAGAACCGCTAACTATTGTAATGGCCCAATGACGGCAGCAGCACATAATTATTTGCATGGGTGAAGCAGCCGTCGCAGATCAAATGTTAGAGCCAGGGCTCTCCCACCTCTTCACACACAGAACTTTCCAGCGGGGGCGGGTCACGCATGCAAACCTGCGAGCTGTCAAGTGATGCACAAGCCTGTGTGAGAGCCAGCGTCCTGTAGTGGTTCAGAGTGGCGGACTCTAATCTGGAGAACCGGGTTCGGTTCCCCACTCCTCTTCCACATGAGGCCTGCTGGGTGACCTCGGGCCAGTCACAGTTCTCTCTCAGAACTCTCTCAGGCCCACCTGCCTCGCAAGGTGCCTGTTATGAGGAGAGAAGTGGACAGCCAGCACGGGGCAGTGGTTAGGAGTGGTGGACTCTAGTCTGGAGAACTGGGTTCAATTCCCCATTCCTCTTCCACAGGAAGCCTGCTGGGTGACCTCGGGCCAGTCACAGTTCTCTCTCAGAACTCTCTCAGCTCCACCTATCTCCTCAAAAGATGCCTGTTGTGGGGAGAGGAAGGGAAGGCGATTATAAGCCACTTTGAGACTCCTTAGGATAGAAAATGTGGTGGACTCGAATCTGGAGAACCAGATTCAGTTCCCCACTCCTCCTCCTCCACATAAAACCTGCTGGGTGGCCTTGGGCCAGTCACAGTACTCTCAGAGCTCTCTCAGCCCCCACCTACCTCACAGGGTGCCTGTTGTGGGGAGAGGAAGGGAAGGAGATTGTAAGCTGCTTTGAGACTCCTTAAGATACAGAAAAGTGGGGTATAAAAACCTCCTCTTCTTCTGAATCGGCCTGTCTAAACCCACAAGTTGCCTCATCATTTTTCTTCTTCAGGCACAGTCTCATTTTCTGTCTGCAAAGCCACAATCTCTACTTCAATTAGGAGTTAGGTTTTTTTTGTCTCAGCTGTATGTGGGGATTCTTCTAGAACCAGATGTTTGTCAAACCTGGTTGAAAATCTGAGAGAGCCAATGCGGTGCAGTGGTTAGAGAGTGTAAGACTCGGATCTGGGAGACCCGGATTCAAATCCCAACTCTGCCACGGAAGTTTACTGGGTGATTTTGGGCCACTCATTCTCTCTCAGTCCAGTGTACCTCAATTGCTGTTGTTGGGAGGATAAAACTGAGGAGAGAAGAATGACGTACGCCGGTTTGGGTCCCCACTGAGGAGGAAAGCAGGCATAAACCACTTTCGCAGGTATAAACCACTCATTCTCTCTCAGTCCAGTGTACCTCAATTGCTGTTGTTGGGAGGATAAAACTGAGGAGAGAAGAATGACGTACGCCGGTTTGGGTCCCCACTGAGGAGGAAAGCAGGCATAAACCACTTTCGTGTAATGGTTAGGAGCGCAGACTCTAGTCTAGAAGAACTGGGTTTGATTCCCCACTCCTCCACATGCAGCTGCTGGTGTGACCTTGGGCAAGCCATAGTTACGTCAGAGCTGTTCTCTCAAGGACAGTTCTGGAAAGAATTCTCTCAGCCCCGCCTACCTCACAAGGTACCTGTTGTGGGGAGAAGAGAAAGGAGATTGTGAGCCACTCTGAGACTCCTTCGGGTAATGAAGGGCAGGGTATAAATCCAATCTCCTCCTCTTCCTCCTCCTCAGTTTATTTTTGGTATGGCAGAGTTACACACAGGAAGCATATAACGATATAAAATACGTAACCAAGTTGATACAACGGGTATGCAGACCGATTGGGCAGTTCCTTTAAATAACTCGCAGGGCTCTTTTTGTAGCAGGAACTCCTTTGCATATTAGGCCACACACCCCTGATGTAGCCAATCCTCCAAGAGCTTACAGTAGCCCCTGTAAGAAGAGCTTGGGGGATTGGCTACATGTAACCAAGTTGATACAATGGGTATGCAGACCGATTGGGCAGTTCCTTTAAATAAAAGCAACCATTTTCTCCAAGCGAACTGTTCTCTGTTGCCTGGAGATCACGCGCAATCTCAGGAGACCTCCAGCTACCAAATGGAAGTTGGCAACCCAAGATGGCGTACAGGGAAACCAATAACCCATAACAGCCTGCTTTTCTGGGGGGAATTTATTACAGAATTACACTCTGGCTTTCTAACAAACATGGGGAGTTTTGCCGCTGTGCTCTCTCTCTCTCCGTATGTGTGTGTGTGAGAGAGAGGGTGTGTGTGTGATACAGAAAACACTTTGATTAATTGCTCCAGTGCACAAAATGTAAAGGCCTCGCCTTCTCCAAAATATCAACACTCCTGCATTATTCATGGGCACGGAGGAAAACGCCAGACGCTCAAAAAACGAAGGCCCGTATTGAAATGAGCGTTTATGATGATGAAACAAGTTGCCGAGCTAAATGCCGAAGGCCGAGGACGTCTCCCCGCATCCCCGTGATGAGCAGATAACAAGTGCTCTTCCGCCGCTCGATCCTTCTCTTATTGATTTCCCTGCCACTTACTCTGGCTGTTTGCTTTGTATCTTTAAGCCATTCTTCACCGTCCATCATTGTAAGGTTCAGCACAAGACACACTGTGGGTATCAGGCTCTGGCGAGGGACACTCGGGAGCCTGTTCCCCTCTGTCTGGAGCGGCAAAAGGTCACAGGACTGCGACAAAGGAGGGCTAAGAACACTCGACATCTTTGGGTCAAAAATCAGCGGGACCACAAAGGGCCACAGGCCCAGATGGCTTTAAAAGGGGTTAGACCGATCCATGGAGGATAGGACTATCAGTGACTACTCGCCGTGCTGTATAAACAGAGACTCCATAACCTCAGATACCAGTGCCAGGATACCAGGAGGGAACATCAGGAGAAGGCCTCAACCTCAAGGGCCTGTGGGTGGACCTCCAGAGGAACTGGTTGGCCACTGTGTGAGACAGGACACTGGAACAGATGAACCACTGGTCTGATCCAGCAGGGCTCTTCTGGTGTTCTTATCGGGGAAGGCCTCGGCCTCTGTGCCCTGTTGATGGACCTCCAGAGGAACTGGTTGGCCCCTGTGTGAGACAGGATGCCTGACTCTTCTTATGCTCCTAATTTCAAGCAGTGCTAAGTGCAAGGATATGCACTTCTCCAAAACACAGACTTATTTAACGTGGTGAGAGTCCCTGGATAACAAGCTTGAGTAGATAGGGGTAAGGCTGGGCAGGTAACTCCTCTGTACGTATTCTGCACAAGGGCTCTGTTGGCTGAACCCCAAAGAAAGCTGATTCTGCAGCCTGCCAACTACGCATATATTTGCCTGTTGTGCATAATTTTTTCTGCTTCTGATAGTTGTGGGGGAGGATCAAAGAACAAGGCAGGGCTCCGAATTCCCAGTCCACTGGAAGTCCTGCTTTCCTTCTGGCCTTCTTAGGATTCACACCTCAGCGGTGGCCTTTCAGACCTACAAGAGCCAGCTTGCTGTAGTGGCTAAGAGCGGCAGGACTCCGATTTGGAGAACCGGGTTTGATTCCCCCACTCCTCCACATGCAGCCAGCTGGGTGACCTTGGGCAAGCCACAGTTCTCTCAGAGCTGTTCTCTCAAGGGCAGTTCTCCCAGAGCTCTCTCAGCCCCACCGACCTCACAGGGTGTCAGTTGTAAGAAGGGGAAGGGAAAGGGGGATTGTAAGCCGCTCTGAGACTCCTTCGGGTAATGAAGGGTGGGGTATAAAAACAACTCCACCTCCTCCTCCTCCTCAAGGTCTTAGAATCCTGAGATCTGTACATGATACCGAGTTCTGCACTTATATGGTATTCCAAACATACAGCCATGAAAACTGCAAAGGGCCCCAAAACATTTTTTTAAAACTTTTTTTCTTCCCCCCTCCCCCAAGGAATGCAGGATGAGCACATGACCCTCCCTGTTCTCCCATTTATCCTCACGACAACCTTGCGAGGTAGGTCAGGATGAGAAAGTGACATGAGCTGATCTACAGTGCCATCTTTTACAGAGTTACATGCTTCTAAGTCCTATTGGGCTGAGACTGGCGTAACCACACTTAGGATGATACGGTCAGTTAGCTTTACAACAGGAAGGGATCTGAGCTAACGGCTGTCGTCTCCCTCTCTAACCGCCACGCAGCACTGCCACTCGTAGGAGAACTGGCTGAGAAAAACGGTCAGAGGTGATACCGGTTTGTGACCTTTCCCACCTTGAATTCCCCGGGCTTTACACGGCTCGCCTTTGCGAGACACGAAGCATCCTGCTCCTCGCTATATTCCTCAGGAAGTCCGTTTACTTATCCTAGTTCAGTTTGGGGCAGGGCGGGAGTCCCCCGACTGCGTATCCCACGTGAGTCGGGCCCGCGGGGTTCAAAAGAGCGGCACTTACCCTTCACTGAAAGGGTTCTCTCCGGGAATGACGTGCGTGCTGTCCTTGCCCACGAGGAACTTGATGCGTTCGTAGAACGAGTAGAGGTTCTGCAGGGAGACCGGGGGCTGAGTCTCTTGGATGATATCCAGGGGGTCTGGGGAGCCCTGGCAGAGGGAATTGGTCTGGCACAGGGGCTGCAGGCAACAGTCTGGATCCATGCAATCCACCAAGCCATCTGTGTACAGGACAGGAGGAGGAGGAAAAAAAGGGGGGGAGAGATCTCTTAGTAACCAAGGAATTTCCTCATCTGGGGGAGTCAAAGCCAGCTCCAAAGAATGGGAGAATTAAGTCTGATCTTAAATCTGAAAGTGTAGGACAATCTAGGACTAGATCGGGGTGGCCAAACTGTGGCTCGGGATCAGCAGGCAGCTCTTTTACGCATACTGTGCCTCTCCCGGCAGGGCGGCCGGGGAAGCTAGATATCATTCGCAAACAAATGATCACTGGACAAACAAATATCATTACCAATATCTGCTTTTACCGCTTTTGTTATTATCTTTGGCAGTCTCATTTAATGTTAACAAAAAGCAAATCTGCCCATTTCCCCGTTTAAAAGTGTAATATTTGTTCACGTCTTGCGGCTCTCAAACACGTGGCATTTATTCTATGCGGCTCTTACGACACTCACTAAGTGCAAAATGTTGAATAAAAGAATTTACTTCTGAGGAAATCATAAGAGAATTGACTTCGGAGGAAGTGTAGGAACGAAACGAAGACTCAAGCCGGAAGGTCCGTTAATATATTGATAGAATATTATGATACTGGGAGGTTTCTACCGTCTAGGCCAGATTGGCTGGAGATCCTGGAGGGTTTGGGGTTTTTTTGGTCATCTTCTGGATGTGGAACAGCAGTCACTGGGGGGGGGAGGGGAGGTATTTGTAAATTTCCTGCATTGTACAGGGGGTTGGACGAGATGACCCCGGAGTTCTCTTCCAATTCTATGATTCTATGACCCGCACACTGACTGGGTAAACATGTGCTCAAGTCATGCTGTAGAAACGAGATTCGTAGACATCATTAATGACTACACACTGGAACAGTTGGCCAACGAACAAACCAGAGGGGTACTGATTTTGGACTTGGTTCAAGGGGTTCAAGACCTCGTCAGATATGTGGAGGTTGTTGCACCAGTTGGGAACAGTGACCACAATGGTGTTCAGTTCGGCATTCATGTCAATGGAACGGCACCCTGAAAGTCCAAAACTGTAACATTATGACTTTCAAAAGGCTTTTGACAAGGTACCTCACCAAAGACCCCTCAATAAACTCAGGAGCTGTGGGATAAGAGGATGAGTTCTCTTATGGATTAAAAACTGGTTAAATGACTATAATAGAGTGGGTTCGAGGCATAGTGTAGTGATCAGCTGTCCGGTCCCGTTTCACAGCGATTAATCCAATACACGTTTTAAGCAAAGTAGTATTTTATTAAAGCCATGATAGAGCAGGAGCAAGTTCACTGTCCAGAATGCCTGGGCCAGGGTGGGCAAGGAATAATGTAATACATTAAAACAAAGGCATAACCAATAATCTCCATTCCCGCCGAGCGGGCAGACTTTGGTTTACGCGCGCAAAAGCCTGAGAAGCAACGTTCCCTAAAACCAAAACAATTACAGCTTCACACGGAACGGCTCATTATACAGTTAGCAAAGCATCTCCCCCCACACACCTGTTAATCTTGCAGATAAGCGTTGCCTAGCAGTAGCGGACATGGAATGCATGGGCGCAGACTATACACAGGGGAAGATAGGGCATGCACAGATGGCAAGGGGGGGGGGGCTGACAGCTTCCCAATCTTCTATGGCAGCTAACTGACATCAGCTCATAGTTTTATTTAAGAACGGGAACAAGACAAAGTAGCCGGCTCGCAGGCCCGCTTAGAACCCCAAGGTAAACCACACCCCACACACACACCCAGCACCCGTGATAGGTTTATTTACAGTGCTAGCACACAGTAGGTTAACCCTAGGATCCAAGCCCCCCGACTGGAGTGGACTAGGACCCGACCTTCTATTGTCTGTATTGGCGAAGCTCAGACTCTTAGCCAGACCACGTGTGGACCTGATCTCGCATGCGGTCGACTCAGTATACAACAATGACAGGATGCAAAGAGTAGGAGTCAATGGATGGTTTGCACAATGGAGGGAAGTAAGCAGTGAGGTCCCACGAGGATCGGTATTGTGGGCAGTACTATTTAATTTGTTCATAAACGATCTGGAACTAGGGGTGAGTAATGTAGCGGCCAAGTTTGCAGACATCACACAAAATTATACCGGATGGTGAAAACCAAGGCTTACTACGAAGAGCTCCAAGAGGACCTCCACAAATTGGGTGAATTGGGGGACAATGTGGAAAATGAAGTTCAGTGTTGGTAGTGTAAGGTGATGCCCATGGGAACAGAAAATCCCAGCTTCAAGTATAGGCGAATGGGGTCTGAACTTGCTCAGACGGAGAGGGGAAAAGATCTTGTGGTCGTAGTGAATAGCTCAATGAAAGTGTCAGCCCAGTGTGCTGCAGCAGCGAAAAAGGCAAACTCTATCCTGGGGGTTATCAGGAAAGGGATTGAAAATAAAATGGCCAATATTATAATGCTCCTGTATAGAGCTATGGTGCTGTCTCATTTGGAATACTGTGGTCACCGCACCTCAAAAAAGATATTATAGCACTGGAGAAGGTGCAGAAAAGGGCAATTAAAGCGATTAAGGGGATAGAACACCTTCCCTATGAAGAATGGCTAAAGAGGTTAGGGCTCTTTAGCTTGGAGAAACGACGACTGAGGGGTGACATGATAAGGTTTACAAACTCATGCATGGGATAGAGAAGGCAGAGAAAGAAGTGCTAATGAGCAGTAGGCTTAGAGCAGGTCAAAGGAAGTACTTCTTCACCCCAAAAGACATGAACATGTGGAATTCAGTGCCGCAGGAAGTGGTGGCAGCCACAAGCACAGACAGCTCCAAGAGGGGATTGGATAAACATACGGAACAGAGGTCCATGAGTGGCTATTAGCCACAAGGTAGAGAAAGAACACTCTGTCTGGGGCAGTGATTTTTGGTGCTTGGGGACTGTTGGGTTTGGATGGGCCATTGGCCTGATCCGGCATGGCTTCTCTTCTGTTTTTATGTCTGGGGTGGTGATGCTCTGTCTTTTTGGTGCTTGGGGGGCAAGAGTGGGAGGGCTTCTGGAGTTCTGGCCCCGCTGGTGGACCTCCTGATGGCACCTGAATTTTGGCCACCGTGTGACACAGAGCGTTGGCCTGGATGGGCCACTGGCTTGATCCAACATGGCTTCTCTTATGTTCTTCTTATGACCAATGGGCTGATTTAGTATAAGGGAAGGGGCCGTGGCTCAAATGCAGGGCATCTGCTTAGCCTGCAGAAGGTCCCAGGTTCAATCCCTGGTATCTCCAGCTAAAAGGACCAGGCAGTAAGCGATGTGGAAGACCAGTACCTGAGACTCTGGGGAGCCACTAGCAGTCTGAGTAGACAGGACTGACCTTGAAGGACCAAATGTCTGATTCACCATAGGGCAGCTTCATGTGTTCAGGATAGCTTTGTGTGCGTGTTCGTGTGTGTGTGTAGCAATAGCTCTTGGGAAAGATCGTTTTCTGCCCGAGACCCTGGAACGCTGCTGTCAGCAAGCCAGAGAAGACAGTGCAGAGTTAGATGGACCGCTACAGGAATAACTGACACGCTCAACCGAGAAGGAAGCTGCCGTGGTGTCAAGAGCGCCTGCTTTGTGAACGTACCATCTCAACCTTTTCAGTCCTCTTCTCGGGTTCTCCTTTGTTCTAGGCTCAGATAAGGCCTCGAGACATTTGTCTTCACCGAACTAGGCAGGTGCGCTTCAGGAGTCAACCGACAGGGGAGCATCTGTTTTGAGGCACGAACGGCGCAGAATGAACCTCGCACCTCGTATTTTTTCTCCTGTCCGTTTACTGCTTTATTTTACTTCTGCCTTTATCCTCATCGGGTGTAAGTATGACAAAGGGTCTTTGCCGCTGACATCTTTAGGGCTCTTAAAGTCTCAAGGAAATGGGTCTGGGATTCACCTCCTCTGCTCCCCTTGACTTTTAATGGGTGTTAGGGGATTACGCTCCCTTCATCTTGGGGAAATTTAGGAGCTGCTTGTGTCACGAAGCATCCCAGAGAGATATAGATATAGAGGCAGACGTAAAAATTTCAAGTCTCTAAACAGGAACAGGCAACAACACCAGTCCTTTTTTTAAGCACACCTTGATTTCCTTTCCTTCTTTTAAAACAAAATTGGATACACCGCCATAGCGTCATCCAGGAGAAATAAATTACGACGGATTAAACAGCACCTTCCTAATACTCTGCGAACACTTGAGTCATTTTGCTCGGTGTCGAAAGAATAAAACCACGCCGATAAAGAAGTCTCTCCTAGCAAGGGAACTTCCGTGCATCTAAGAATAACTTCTTTTTTTGCAGTGAAGAGTCCTATTGTATCTGGTGGATCACCCATTCCCTTATGAACCTCCCTCTGTGCCGAGAGCAGAGAATATTCCGTAGATCCCCAGCTCACTGTGGTAGGGTGTGTTGTGGTTAGATATATGGGCCCTTTGGGTTGTGAGGCCAACCACTGGACTGTTCTCCATCTTTGTTACTGGCATATGGACAGCAGGAGTGGAAAAAAATCAGCTTCGATGTGTCTTTCACTAACATTTTATATTCAGTGGGATATAGCCTAATACCAATCCCTTTAGGATTGCAGTTGTGTAGCTGCAGCTGTACAACCTGACGCATCTTTACTCAGAAACGATTCTCACTCACTTCAATGGGGTTTACTCTAAAGTAAGTGCGCGCCGGATGACAGCATTGGTTTTCTGTCATGTTCTTTTTTCATGATGTGTATTCCCAGTAGTAATGTATGGCTGCGAGAGTTGGACCATAAGGAAGGCCGAGCGCCGAAGAATAGATGCTGTTTGAATGATGGTGCTGGAGAAGACTCTGGAGTGTCCCTTGGACTGCAAGGAGATCAAACCAGTCAGTCCGAAAAGAAATCAACCCTGACTGTTACCTAGAAGGCCAGAGACTGAAGCTGAAGCTCAAATACTTTGGCCACCAAAGGAGAAGGGAGCACTCACTGGAGAAGACCCCGATGCTGGGAAAGACTGAAGGTCAAAGAAGATGGGGACGGCAAAGGATGAGATGGTCAGACAACAAACATGAAATTAAGCAAACTCTGGAGGACGGTGGGAGGGCCTGGCGTGAAGTGGTCCGTGGGGTCCCGAAGTCAGACTTGACTGTGCAACTGAACAACAACGAACTTCCTGTTAACATATCATCTAGGTATCTGAAGCAGGGTGCCTGCCCATGAAAGCTTATAAAAGGTAAAGGTCTCCCTTGCTCGAAAGCCAGTCGAGTCCGACTCTAGGGTTGCGGTGCTCATCTCTGTTTCAAATCCGAAGAGCCAGCGCTGTCCGAAGACGTTTCCGTGGTCATGTGGCCGGCATGACTAAACACGAAGTCGCACGGAACGCTGTTACCTTCCCACCGAAGTGGTCCCTATTTATCTACTTGCAATTTCTTGTTTCGAACTGCTAGGTTGGCAGGAATGAAAGCTTATACTCAGAATTAAACTTTGTTGGTCTTAAAGGTGCCACCGGACTTAAACTTTGCTCTGTTGCGTCAAATCAACAAGGCTACCCACCTGAATATTACCATCCAGGTGTGTGGGAAGGTCCAGTGTGGAAAGCCCTAGATCAGTACCCCAAAAATGGAATTCTGACCAGGGACCGCTGCAGTTTTAGAGAAATGCAAGATACTGTTTGACGCTTTTTGTTTCGGAGACTGGGCGGCCTCTTCCAAAAAGGCAAATGCCCCTCATTCCTTGGAAAAATACAAACCCACTTTTTATTTTTGGTTCCCATTCACAGGCATAGAGCATACATCTCAGATCCAAATATTTTACACATCTGGCTGTGGCGAACGCTATTGCTGCCTTGAGCCTGGAGTAAATAGAAAAGCTTGCAGCGGTATCTGGTTTCATGTGAGAGAAAGAAGAAAGTGCCCTTTGTTTTACAGCTTGTATTCTTCGCAGAGAGGGAAATGGAGACGGGGAGAGGGAGACACTTCTCAACTTCGCCTCCCCCCCCCCGCCGCCAAATCTTTTTTTTTTTTGCAAAAGAAGTAATTTGGGCTAGTTAACGCACCAGATGTGCAAAACTATCCG